CGACTGCTAAGAAAACAAACGTTCATCTTGGAGAGGGTTAAACTGGGCTTCTCCTTGGAGGCAAGGATTCTGAGGCTTCGTCTGACATACTTTGGTCATGTTGTAAGGAGAGACCGGTCCTTGGAGAAGGACATCATGCTTGGGAGGGTAGAGAGACAGCACAGGAGGGCAAGGCCCTCTAGGAGATGGATTGATTCAGTGACTGGGGTAATCGGGATGAGTGTGTCGGGGACAGTGAGATTGGCACAAGACAGAGCAGAGTTTAGGGCTGTTGTACATAGGGTCGCTATGAGTCGCAAGCAACTTGATGGCACTTAACAACAACAAGAAGTCAATTTTAGCAATACTAGAATACAAAATAACTACGTTATAGGGCTCCCAAGGTTGTAAATCTTTACAAAAGAAAATTGCCATATTTCTCCTATTTGTAGCAACTAATGAGTTAAATAAAACTGCTAACTTTCAGTTAGTAGCTGAATTTAAACCACATCACCGTCAGATCTAGAGAAATGGAAAAAGAAGAAAAGAAAAAGTAATATAGACATAGCACCTCAAATCTACTGTGGTGGTGATTGTTAGGTGCCATCAGTAGATATAATCTTTTTTTTAATTGATATTCTGATGAAAGATTATAGAGAACTTGAATTTCCATTAATTCATTGTTGAACATTTTCCTCCCTGCCCACTCCTCCTCCCATATTAGGATTTCAAAGTAATAGTATTGAGTCACTATATTCACATTCATTTAAAATGCTTTTTACATTAATATTTTAGTATTAGTCACTGTTGCTCAGTCACCTTCAATTAGTATTGAGATACTAATATTCCTTTATTAAAGTTGTCCAAAGAATATCTTATTTTCATTTCTTGATACTTTTAAACTTTACCTGCATTAACTAATCAATTTAGATATTATATTAATTTGATAATGACTGATAATGACTTTAAGCAGTTAATGCAGAAAATAACAGACTACAACCTTCAATTTGGGTTATATCTCAATATCAAGAAAACAAAAATCCTTACCACTGAACCAAAAAGCACCACCATGATATACACGGAAAAGTCTGAAGTTGTCAACGATTTCATTTTATTTGGATCCACAGTCAACACCCATTGTAGTCCAGAAGTCAAAAGACATGTTTCATTGGGAAAATCTGCTGTCAAAGATGTCTCCAAAGTGCTTTCAGAGCATTGATGATGATTTAAAGACTAAGGGGTACCTAATCTAAACCATGGTATTTTCAATTGCACATGTACACCTGAAAGCTGGACATTGAATAAGGATGACAGATGAATTAATGACTTTGAGCTGTGGTGTTGAAGGAAAGTACTGAATATTCCATGGATTGTCAAAAGAACAAATAAGTCTTTTTTTTTTTAATTTTTTATTATTATTCATTTAAATGAAAATTTACAGACTTTGGATTTCCATTCATTCATTGTTGCATTTTTCTCCCTACCCACCCCTCCTCCCCCCATTACACTCTTCTATTTGAAAAGTAAAAGAAAAATTCTTTCATTGTTTTACAATCCCTTCCCCCAGGTCTACTCCACTATGCAGCCTTCTTTCTGGACTCCTGTCATGACAATAGTACCTAATTCCATATCCCTTTTAAACAGTTTTCTCCATCATCTGTTTCAATGCAGTATACATTATTTATCCCATCTTTCTCAGTCTCTCCCCAACCACAATGTCAGTCCTGTTTTACAACAGTGGCACCATGCAGTATTTGTCCCTGTGTGACTGAGATATTTCACTCAGCATGATGTCCTCCAGGGTCACCCAATAAATCTGTCTTGTAAGAAGTACAATCAGGATGGTCTTTAGAGGCAGAAATGGTTAAACTTTATCTCACTCTGAGAAGGCCGTCAGGAGGGACCATTCTTTGGGGGGGGAATATATTATGCTCAACAAGGTAAGCAGAGTGATGATAAGAATGGGCTCAATCATTTTGAAGATTTTGGACTTGAAATAAGATAGAGCAACATTCCAATCTGTTCATAGAGTTACTAAGGATTACAGTTGACTTGATGGCACATAACAAGCCTTTATTGGCCTAATTATGTTAGTGATATTTAATAATTTGTTAATATATACATTCATCCCAGAATTGAACCTAGGAACTCCGATGGCTTAGTGAGAATAGGTTGGCTGCCAGCTCAAAGGCAGGTGACTCCAATCCATCAGTGGGCCAACTATGGGTCAGCTCCAGCTCAGCAGCACATAACAACATCTCTTTAATGACCCAGTGTTATTTCAAGAATGTGTGTGTGAGATATTTGATGTATAGAACGCATTTGATATATGATATTGTTGTAGTTAGGTGCTGTCAAGTCAAATACGACTCACAGCAACCCTGTGAACAAAAGATCTGAACCTTGTTCTGTCCTGTGCCCTCCTTATACCTCCTGGCATATAAGAACGCACTGTGGCTGTCACCATATCAATCCACCTGATCGAGAGTCTTCCTCTCCTTTACCAGCCCTCCGCTCTTCCTAGAATCATGTCCTTCTCCAAGCAATAGCCCTTCCTAGCAACATGCTCAAAGTATATGAGGCAAAATGTTAGCCATGTTGATTATTGCATAGTTCATTCATTCATTGATGGGAAACTTAGAGAATAAATACTTTGTACTATGCACTATGTGAAATGGGGACACCAAAGACAGGATGTTAAGGATGCTTTTCTCTTTGAGACAGCTGTAAGCAAGTAGCCATCATTCAGTCTGATACATTTTATGTAACAACATGGCACAGAGTGCTAACAAGTTTGGGAGACTGTCTTCCTTTGGTTTAACTGCATATACTGACAATTTTCCTTAGTAAGTACGTGGTTGACTTAAAAACAAATGTGCCTGATTCAATATAGAGATGGAACATTAGAAGGTAACCCAGTGTGAGACAGAAGCAGCAATCCAGGGAATTAGTTGAAGAGAAAGGAAGAGAGTCAGAGAGGGTAAAAGAAATATCATTCTGGTTGGGCCTGTAATAGAATACATACCAATTCTAAATTGTTGTTGTTATGTGTCGTAGAGTCTCTTGTGACTCCTAGCGACCCTATGTACAACAACTCTGAACCTTACTCTCTCCTGAGCCAACCTTATTGTCTCTGACACACCGTTACAAGGAATATTATTTTTTAATATTATTTTTATTTAACATATTTTAGAAGCAGGAGCGGCATCCACTTCCTAAACAACATGCCTCTGGAAACTCTATGAACTTGGATAAATGTTGGTAATTATAGAAAGGTTTTAGGCCTTTTGTTCATAGGGTCACTATGAGTCATGCTCAACTCGAAGGCGATCAACCACCACCACAACATATATTGTAAAATATATTCTTTTTTATGTTTTCTATTATTATTTTTTATTTAATATATTATTTTTTAAATAATATTCCCTTTGATTTAAAATTGATATATTCCCATCATAGTTGTTTACCTATATCCATGTACTCTATTACATGCCAAATCAGAATTTTCTTTTATCCTCTCTGTGTCCTCCTTTCTCTTCATCTAATTCTCTGGATTGCTGTCTCTGTCTCACACAGTGGGTTACATTCTAACCTGTCACCTCTACATAGAAACAAGCACATTTGTATCTAACAGAGTGTGAAGTATAAATACTAGTAAGTAAATACTAATAAAAATTTACTAGTTACGAAATTGGCCACAATCTGTAAATTTGTACTCAGAAGTTTTCTTATCTAAAAAGTGCAACTGCTGTGTACAAATATATCTTCAGAATTGGAATAGGAGACTTGTAAATTAAACTCATGGTTGTCAAATGTGTTGAGCAATTTTTACATAATACTGGCCACATGACCACAGGCTCTATCCCTTTTGTTTCCCGTGCCGTTTTGAGAAGCTTTACCTCACTGAGGAATAATCGTGTGCATGAATTTAGTTTCCTTTAATCATACCATTCCTGAGTTACAGTTCTCTGAGATAAACTCCAACTTTGTTGATGATGTAAGGACGCAATGGTCTGCTTTTGATGGGACAAAAGGAAAATAAATCATGCTGAAGAGAAAAGCAGTGCTGCTATAACAGACCTTCCATCCTTCTCTCCCTTTCCCCTTGTATCCTTCTTTTCATCCTTCCTTCCTGCCTGCCTGCCTTCCTATTTATCTTTGTTGAGTCCTACAAAGCAGGGAGGGGGCATCATGACAAAACGCTGCTTGTTCCAGAGGGCATTAAATAACTCACTTTTCTCACTCCTCTTACAGATGATTTAAGCCAGAAATTAAAACCCTTGGGGGAGGCGGAACGAGCATTTATATTGAATTTGAAGAAAAAGGAATGTGAAGAGAAAGGTTTTGAATTTGATGGGAAAATCAATGCTTGGGATCTACATTACTACATGACTCAGACAGAGGAACTCAAGTACTCTCTTGACCAGGAAATCCTCAAAGAATATTTCCCAATTGATGTAGTTACAGAAGGTTTGCTGAACATCTACCAGGAATTGTTGGGACTTTCATTTGAGCAAGTGGCAGATGCTCATGTTTGGAATGAAAGTGTTACACTTTACACTGTGAAGGACAAAGCTACTGGAGAAGTGTTGGGACAGTTCTACTTGGACCTCTATCCAAGGTACTAAGGATCATGTAGTTGAAACAGAACTTGGAGATCCAACCACTTACAGGTTATGAGTCTTCCTCCATAGTTCTCAGTATAAAGGTTACAGATGTAAGCCCAGAAACCGGAATGTCTTGCCTCATCACATAACTAGGCAAGATTTTTAATGTACCTTAGTTTCTATATCAATACTACAGTTCCTATGAAAGGGGAACACTAATAATACCTATTTCACCAAGTTGTTTTAAGGATTAAGTTGATCAATCCATGCAAAGCATTTTAGAAGCATGCCCAATACACTATCACCATAAAGACAATGGATGGTGCAGTTAGTACACTCAGTGCTAACTTAAAGTCTGGAGGTTTGGACCCACTCAGAGGGACTTCAGAAGAAGTCTAGCTGTCGGCTTCTGACACATGAGCCATCAAGAACCTTATGGAGCACAGTTCTGCAGATATAGAATTGCCATGAGTCAGAGCAGACTCCTCAGTTACTGATTACTAGCTGCAGTAGCAGCAGCATCTAATTTGTATGTTGCATTTACTTAGACTTTTCTACATAAATAACACATACCATCTCTATTTGCCAGCTGTTTTGTCCCCTTTGGAAGTATTTACATAAAATGTCAAATCATTTTAGATGGTGCTATTCAAAAGTAGCACAGATATTTCTACAAAAATGTCTTCTAAGGGGGTAAGAAAGCAAGTGACTAGCAAATAATCATAGAAGACATGTAATATTTGCATAATATACAGTAATATATCGCCAGTACTTTTAAATGTATTGCTGCTCAGCTGTCTTCCTAAGAAGTACCATGTAATAAGAGTAAAGGATTTTTTACAATTTAATCTTCTTTCCATTTTCGACACATGTTGTTGTTGTTACCCTGGAGTCAGAACTCACCCATCACCGACCCTCCAGTGAGTTTTAAGGGACATTTAACCACACAGGAGGATATATTGCCCATCCTTCTACTGCAGAGCATCTGGTAGATTTGAACCACGTGCCTTCAGGATTTCAGCATAGCATCTTGCCACTAGGCCACCCATAGCATTGCTTAAATAGTTAGCTCTTATTATGAAGACCTTTTGTGGTGCATTGAAGCTCCAGTGGTGTAGTGCATTACATTTGAGGCTGCTAACCAAAAGCCCAGTGGTTCAAATCTACCAGTTACTCTGTGGAAGAAAGGTAGGCAAGCTCCTCCTCAAAGATTTACCACGTTGGAAATCTGATAGAGGAATTACAATTCTTATGATTTGGAATTGACTCAACATCAGTGAGTTTCTCAATATACTATTCATACTCTTAAATTTTTAATAGTATCTCAGATTTGAAATATATGTATTTATTAACTAGAGTTTGTCTTAAAACATATGTTGTTTCCAGTTACTTTTCTAATAATAGAATAAAGGCAATTTTCTAAAAAATACAACCTCTAAACTACATTATGTTGTTTAACACATATCTTAAAGAATATAAAATAGCATGTTCTTTGTGCTATCTTTTGTCTGTATCTTTGTTTATGTATGCTGTGGTAATGGTCTCAAATGTGTTGGGATGGTCACAGTGGCGCAGGAACAGAGCTCAGATCTGTTCTTCATGGTGTTGCTGTGAGTTGTACTTGACTTGACAGCACTTAACAATGGACACCTAATGAATTCTCAGTATTATTGCTGTAGATTTTTGTTATTCAGAGCCACAAAAGTAAGACATAATTTTTAAATCTGCCTTAATTTATTAAAGTACCAGAATTCTAGGGGAGCTCTCGTGGCCCAGTGGCAAGAAGCTGCAACTACAATCCCAGAGGTGCACGGTTCGAATCCACCAGATGCTCTGCCGGGGAAGGAGGGGCAATCTCCTCCTATACCAGTCAGATCTGATTTGACGGTACACGCACACAAAAATAATAAAATAAAATTAAAAAAATAATTTAAAAAAAAGTATCAGAATTCTATATTTCTTTGTGTAAAGCCAAGTAATGGACTGATATTATGTCTTCTGCCTGAAGAACTTCTTTTAAAATGTCTTATAGCGTAACTCTCTTAGCAATGTATTCTACAAGTTTTGTTTGTCTGAAAAAGTCTTTTTCTCTTTTAAAAGATATTTTTCTGTTTGTAGAATTCTGCACTAATTAGGGTTTTGCTTTTCAGCATTTTAAAGATATTCTCCATTTTTTTTATTTGCATAGTTTCTGGAGAAAAGTCAACTCTTATTGTTACACCTTTCTATCTTTAATATGTTCTTTTCTCCGTCTCTGGTTTTTAGCAGTTTTACTATATTGAGTTTTTTACATTTTTTTTCATTTCTTGTTTGTTTTATGTTTATCCTCACTCATATTCACCAATATTCTTTTTTTCTTTTTTGTGAGAAAAATATCTATTTAGAATTAGCCCGCTGGACTCAGTTTAGATGATCCCAATTTTGTTGACAACATCCAAAGCATCATAATCAGGAGCAAGTCGAACATAGGCCTTCTTCTCTCCATTATGCCTAATCAAAGTGTTGACCATAGAGCATTCTTTTCAGCCTGTTTAATTTGGTGCTTGCTGGCCTTGACATCCACAGTGAACACAAGTGTGTTGTTATCTCTGTCTTCTTCATGGCTGACTCAATGGTCAGGGGAAATTTGTTTCTCCTGGGGGCGCTCTTCTGGGGATATTTGGACTGTCTTCGGAGTCTCAGCATCTTAGGTCACTGGAAGGTGGGTAACGTGCAGATATTTTTTTTTAATTTTTATTTTATTATTTTTGTGTGCGTGTACCGTCAAATCAGATCTGACTGGTATAGGAGTAGATTGTCCCTCCTTCCCCGGCAGAGCATCTGGTGGATTCGAACCATGCCCCTCTGGGATTGTAGTTGCAGCTCCTTACCACTAGGCCACCAGAGCTCCCCTAGATCTTTTTTTTGGGGGGGGCGGGGGCTATGGATGCCCTTCAGGACTGCCTTCTTCGCCTTTAATGCCTTTGCTTTGGGAGGGGCAGGGGTTTTCCTTCGCTTCTGGTGCCATCTTTGAAGATTCTTGAGTGTATGGTTTGACATCTCATTAATTTTAAGAAATTCTTAGCTATTAGACTATTATTTCTTCAATATTTTTCTACTCTGTTCTATCTTTCCTCTTCTGAAATTTAAGTTACAAAATAATTTTATTTTGTCCTGTAGATCTAGGTACCTTGTTCTTGTTTCTTTGTTGTTTTTCTGTTTTCTTGTTGGTTCATTTTTCCTCTCTTTTCAATCTTTGTATTTTAGCTGGGACAATTTCTACTTATCTGTCTCTAAGTTTACTTGGCTGTGTCAAGTCTATTAATGATCCTGTCTTAAGGATTCTTCATTTCTAAGTTTCATTTATGTTGTTATTGTTGTTGAGTCAATTATGACTTGTAGTGAACCTGTGAACAACAGATTTGAACCTTACCATATCCTGTACCATCCCCATGATTTTTTTAAATGCTCAAGCCATTATTACATTCACTCTATCTTGTTAAGTGTTTCTCTCTTTCTCTGACCTTTCCCAGCATGGTGTGTTTTTCTAAAGAATGGCCCTTCCTGGCAACATGCCCAAAGTATGTGAGACAAAAGTTTCACAAAAGTCACCTTTAAGGAGCACCTTGATTGCACTTCCTGCAAACGGGCTTCTTAATTACTCCTTTGTCATTCCATGAGATATTCGGTATTTTTCTCCAGTATCACGACTCAAAAGGCATTGATTCTTCCTCTTTTATCCTTGTTCATTGTCCAACTTTCAGATGCCTAGGAAGCAATTGAAAATACCCTGGCTTGGATCAGGTCCCCCTTAGTTTTTAAAATGTCATCCCTTTTCATTAGCACTGAGAAGAAGTCTTTGACAATAGATGTTCCCAGTGCAACACATCTTTTGTTTTCTTGACTGATGTTACCCCGGGTATTGGTTATGGATCCAGTAAAATGAAGTATTGACAACTTCAGTCTTTTCTCCTATCATTATGTTGTTTGTTAGTCTAGTGGTGAGGATTTTTGTTTTCTTGAAGTACATATATAATTAATATTGAAAGCTACAGTCTTTGCTCTTCCCCAACAAGTGTTTCAAATCTTTTTCACATTTAGCAAGTAAGGTTGTTTCATCTGCATAACTCAGATTGTTGATGTCTACCTTCAATCTTGATGCTATGTTTTCTTCATATAGTCCAGCTTCTCAAATCATTTGCTCTCCATACAGATTGAATAGGTGTGGAGGCATCTGAGGCATACCTTTTGTGACTTTCAACCATGCAGTGTTCCCTTGTTCTTTGTGGACAACAACTTCTCTAGCCTATGTATAGCAGGAACACAATTAAGTGTTCTAGGATTTCGTTCTTCTCAGTGATCTATAGATTTGATTCTTTCGTATAGTTTCCTAATTCACTGGTGCTCCTAACCATGAATGGTGCTCACTTTTTTCAGTAAATACATGAACATATTATTCATAGTTATTTGAAACATTTTATGTGGTCTTCAACATCTTTGTCCTATCTTGTTCTGTTGTTTGTTTTCCTTTGCCTCTTGGTTGTTGTTCGGGTGCCATCGAGTCGAGTCTGACTCATAGCAACCCTGTGAACAAAAGATCTGAAACCAGTCCTGTCCTGTGCCATCCTCACACTTCCCGACACACAAGAGCCCATTGCAGCAATCACCTTGTCAATCCACCTGGTTTAGGGTCTTCCACTCCTTCACCAACCCTCCACCCTTCCCAACATCATGTCCCTCTCCAAGGAATAGCACCTCCTAGCAATATGTCCAAAGTATTTTAGGCAAAGCCTCATCAATCTTGTTTCCAAATAGCTCACTGGCTGCACCCTCTCCCACAACATCTATTAATTCTCTTGGCTGTCCATGGAATGTTCAGTGCTCTTCTCCAACACCACAGCTCAAAAGCATCAATTTTTTTTCTGTCATCTTTATTCATTGTCCAGCTCTCAGATGCACAGCTAGTAATTGGAAAGACCATGGCTTGAATCAGACACACCTTAGTCCTCAAACTGAAATTACTAGTTCTCAATAATTTGTAAAGGTCCCTAGCTGCATATTTTTCCATTGCAATGCATCTCCTTATTTCCTGACTGCTTGTACCAAGGGTGTTAATTGTGTATCTTAGCAAAATGAAACTCTTGACAGTTTCAATCTCTTCTCCACCCATCATGACACTGCCTATTGGTCCTCTGGTAATAATCTTTGTTTTCTTGATATTGAGACACAATTCATACTGAAGGCTACATTCCTAGATCCTCAACAAGTGCTTCAAATCCTGCTCACTTTCAGCAAGCAAGGTTGTGTCATCTGCATAACGCACGTTATTGATGGGTCTCCCTCCATATCTGAAGCCACATTCCTTTCCATAGAATCCAGCTTCTTGAATAATTTGTTTGGCATATAGATTGAACAAGTATGAAGACAGAATATATTACTGATGCACTCCCTTCACAACTCCAAGCCATGCAGTACTCCCCGCTCCGTTCACTCAACAGCCTTCTGTTCCTCATGAGCACAATCAAGGGCTCTGGGATTCCCATTCTTCTCAGTGTCAGCCACAACTTGTCATGATCCACACAGTCAAATGCCTTTGCATAGTAAATAAAGCACAAATAGACTTTCATGTGATATTCTAGTATTGCCTCTAGGTAGTATGTTGTTTTGTTAGGATTTTTTTCCTTGCATCTTTATATACTTAACGATTTTCTTTAAAAGTCGGACAACTTATGTAGGATAATAAAGACTAAAGGAAATTGTGTGTGTGTGTCTGTGTGTGTGTGTGTACATGTGCATGCTTTAATATGAATATACCTATCTTACTATTAAGGAGCCATGGTGGTATAATGCGTTCTGTATTCAGCTGCCAACCAGAAAGGTCAGTGCTTTGAATCTACAAGCTGCTGCACAGGAGAAAAATTGGCAGTCTCCTCCTGTAAAGATTTACAACCTCAGAAATTTAGTGAAGGGTCACCATGAGTTGGAACTCAACAGCGGAGTATTTGGGGTTTTTTATATTTCTACTCAATATTAAAAGTCTTTAAGGAAACTTAATTCTGTTTAGTAATAGAGCCGAGTGGGATTTTGTTGCCATTGTTATGTCCTGTGCACCTTAAGCTTCAAATATTTATATCGTTATGTCTGTTTACAAAGGGAGCTAGTTTGCCTGAGTGTTTTTCTGTGTTTGTAGCATCCTTTCCTTTAGATCTTCCTATTGTGTTACACTTAGAATTGACCACTTATTAACCCCTTCTCCTTTGTCAGTTGTTATGTGTTTTACTCAGTGAGTTTTATTTAGCCTGAGTAAAACAGACTAAAAATGAAATCTGTTGTTCAGATTAAATCTCTATCTAAAGGAGACATTGTTTGCCCCACTCAGTGATCGTTTTCTAGGCCCAGAACATATTTCTGCTCTTTCTCCAGGGATGTAGGCCTTTCTTTTCTCTGTTCGTTTTCCCCAGTGGTAGTGAACTTCCACCACAAGTAGTATAAGGATAAAAGCATTTGTTGCTTCCTCACCAACCCCCCTCAACAGCTTTTAGCTTTTGTTCCGTCAGAGTGAGAGGTAAAATGGATGTAAGCCATGCTCTTGCTTTAACTACAGTAGCTGCTCCCTTCCCTCCAAATCTACTCCACCAGTGTTCCTTACATCAGGGTCTCAACTCCCCAGGTCCCTCCCTGGGTGTACATCTAGTGAGTGGTCTCTGATGAAGAACCTGAAAAGGTTCCAAATTTTCCAAATCCTCTTCTTTATCTGTCTTCACTTGTAATCTTTCGTTACTAATAGTTTTCTTTAGGATTTTTTAAAAAAAATATTATGTTTATATATATGATAAAAATTTCTTTTTTAAGTATAAGGCTGAGTAACATTAATTCTATTCACTGTGTTGTTCAGCCATCACCTCTCTTTACTTTCAAACTACTTATTAGTGATTGTACTAATAAATTCTAAAACTATTTGTAATATAGCTGTTTAAAGGATTTCTGGTGGTGGTGTATTTTATAGCAAATTGCAATGCTCACCCAAAGGCAACACACCTTTAGTGGTTTGAATCCACCAGCTGCTCTGAGGGAGAAAATAGGCAGTCTCTTCACCTTAGGATTTTCAGCCCTAAAAACCCAATGAAGGATCACTGTGAATTGGGACCAGTTCGATGGTCAGTGAGGAAGTGTGGTTCAGTACTGACCTTTTTCTTAACAAGTCTTTCTTTCTGGTGTCATGCAGTATGTACTCATGGTAAGTAAGTGCTTGCTTCCTCTCTCTCCTTGGAGGTGCTTTTCTTAGTTTGTGAGTTAGTTCATTACCCTCTAACCTCAGCTTTCTGATGGGTTTAAGAAAATTTGTATATGCAGGTGGTCCAGCATTCTTTGTGGCTATTGCTGCTGCTTTTACTCCTGTTTGTGTTGTTTTTCTAAGACCAATGCTCTTTCCAATTTGAGTCTTCTTAATAGGAAGCTAGGAAGAGACTGATTTCTTTTTAACTTAAATAAGTATCAGGAGATGGGAGGAAATAATTAGAGTCACCAGGAAAAATTATACAGGAAAAAAAATATATACATAAAAACTTAATCAAAGCAAACTAAAAAAACCCTCAAAGACCCCAATACACTGTATTCTAAGCATACAAAAACAGAAGTAAACCTACTTTAAGAATGAAGCATTAATTATCTATAGCTTATGAAGAGACCATCACGGATAACATATTGCTAAAAATAGAATATTTCAGAGAATAATTTATGCCTAACTCAGGATATTCCGTTTCCAGAAAGCTTGTTTAGTTTATAAAGGAGCTCATTTAATTGTGAGTGGAGATTTTTCCTTCTTTAAATAAAAGGAAAAACATCGTTGGAATTAAGGTTTTTTCCTTAATTAAGTCCAATTTAAAGAGAAAAAAACTATCTGATAAATATCCTTCATTTCAAATTTGATTCACTATTTAGTGGGAAATAAATTGATACTATCTTGAAAAAGAAAAGCAGGTTCTTTTTAAAATAAATTGGAGAATCAAGAATGTATCCTATATAAGAGGTATTATATATTCTTAATTGGCACATTAAGATATTATCTTAAAAACAACAATAGAACTTTGAAACTGTAACCCAAGAAAATGATGGTAGACTTTTTCTGTTTCTTTTTAGTTTTTTCATTTTAATAAAACATTGACCTGTTTCTCTAAAGGTGAATGAACTGTACTGAGCATCTTCAGATTAATATACCATGTTGATCAAAAGATGCCAGATTCTGTTGTTTATAGAGGTGATAATGTTGTTTCATATCTTACTGCCTTATGTCTCTGGTTCCTAGGGAAGGAAAATACAACCACGCAGCCTGCTTTGGCCTCCAGCCTGGCTGCCTTCTCCCTGATGGGAGTCGGATGATGTCTGTAGCTGCCCTTGTTGTGAACTTCTCACAGCCAGTAGCAGGTCGGCCCTCTCTCCTGAGGCACGATGAGGTGAGGACTTACTTCCATGAGTTTGGTCATGTCATGCATCAGATTTGCGCACAGGTGAGTAACTTTTTAAAAAAATAATAACAGCCAATTTCCTCTTGCTTTCCTAGATGTTTTATCCTCCACTTTTGCCAGATGTCTCCAATTAATGTATTTTTTTCAGAAATTGAGTATGTTCAAGACTATGTGTTTTTTTGTAAAAACATTTTTTTCAGCATACCCTCTTTCATAATGTGTTTCCACTCAAAGGTTAATCCACTGATAAAAAAAGCTTTTTGAATTCTGATTTATAGAAAGATTAAAAAAGGACTACCATTGGAAAAAAGTTTCAGATACTTTTTTGTGTGTTCTTTTAACTCATCTCCACAGGAATTACATGTAATCTTCCCTGATAATATGAGATAGTATTTCAAATCGCTTTGCTTATTAATGCTTTTTTCACTGCAGTGATTTCTTTTTCTTT